TCCGACTGGCACTGTAACTGTGGTTCTTCACAGAAAATGTAGCTCAGCATCTCTTCATGTCTACACAGGGTGTGGACGTGCCGAGCCTGTCTGCAGCCGTCAGTCATTTCCTCAGTTGTCTTTTGGTGCATCACTTCACACCCTCTCCTGTCGGGGAGGAGGCTAAGAAGAAGTCACGGAGGCGTGGCCGTGGGGCCGGGGCCTCCGAGAGCACGCCCTGGAGCATGCTCACTGGATCTGAGCTGTGGAATCTGGTCTGCCAAGATGCTGTCGAAACATATGGTGTCTCTGACAGCCTCGGGTGAGAAGTCACAGGCCTTGCTCATTCACCCCCCTTTGTGTGTTAAGCAATGGTGAAGCTAATGCTTAACCCTTGCCATTTTCTCATAGTTCAAGTCCGAATCACTTGGTGGAGAACTATGGGCTTCAAAAACTCTCTTTGCTGAGAGAATTCTGTTTAAAGACCGGAGTGCAGGTAATCAAATATTCAGCTTTGCTTCTTTGAATCAATATTTTGCAGTTCTAAAAATGCCTTCAGGATAAGACACAATGCATATATTAGAAACACCCTGAAAGCAACACAAACTCTTTGAAAACGCCACTGAGAACTCTGTATCTGCACCAGCTGAGACTGAGAGACTACATCCTCGAGAACCAGAACAAAGCGCCCTTCAGTCCGGACGACATCCTTAACATCTTCCCCGTTGTTAAACACATCAAAATGCCGACTGCTGACGCTTCAAAGGCATACCGAGCTGCACAGACTTCCATTCAGAAGGGTATGTCTACAAGAAAAGAAAAAAAAAAAACAATTGAGTATATGTTCAACACATGCTTTTGAGTGGCTCTTGTGTTTATGAATCCTCCATTCTGGTGTGTAGGTCTGCTAGATCAGGCCCACGAGCAGCTGAAGGAAGCAGCTTACCTGTATGGCAGAGTGTGTGACGATCTGGACCCCGAGGCCTGTAACTGTAACAGCTTGTTGGCCAAAGTCACCTTCCTGCAGGGGAAAGCAGCTGAGGTATGCTCGCAAAGCCTTTCAACGTCTGACAGTAATGACAGAGTATTAGCAGATTTTAAAGTATTCCAGATGCATTCTCCAGTGATGGATAACTGTAGCTGATTACTTAAAACATTGCTCTGTGCATTGCAAAGTATTAGTCCTCTTGAAATGTTTTCACCTTCTGGCACATTACACCCACAAACATAAGCATAAGCATACTTTATTGGCGTTTAAAGTAATTAACCAACATAGAAATGAAATGAAAGGAAAACTATGCATGGTTTTAAAATTAATGTCAAGTTTACTCTAATATTGTACCATGCACAAACAGTTGCCTTGAGAAGTCAAGCAAACATGTGGAAGAACTGGCTCTGGCGAGAGAAGACCAAATAAAATGTTTTGGCCTACAAGCGAAACAGTAAGACAACTAACAGAGCTAATCACCCTGAATGTGGAAGATGGAACTAAATTCAGAGCAACCGTGGAAGAAAATGAGCAAAAATAAATAAATAAAAAATGCTACAAGACTGGAGCCGAGGTTTTACAGTCAGGCAGGACAACTCAAAACATCCAGGGAGAACTTTTTGATCAAAGCATGTTTTTGTGACCAGGTTACTAAATCCAATTGAGAATCGATGGCAAGACTGTATAAATTGATGTTCACGAACTCATTGTTCAACCTGATCAGAGGCGATGGTAATTTGCAAACAGAATGGGGAAAAATTAAAGTGATAAAATGTAAAGTTGTTTGAGACATTGTCCAATGGACTCCCAGTTTTAACTGCAGTGAAAGGTGGCTACGCAAATGAACTCCACCCGACTCAAATTTTTAAATTGCATATTCTTCAGCTGCACTATCGTGTACTAGTTGGAGACGCTCTATTACATTAAATCCCAATAAAATATATTGACAATCATGGTCGTAATCTGACAAAATTGCAAAATGTGCTGGGTATTTTTCCAAGGCACATCACACATGACTGTATTGCTAACTTAACTTCAGTCATGCATCACGCAACACTGCTATTGTATTTGAGAGAGTACTGCCAAATATTTCAGGATATTATAAACACTAAGAGTCACATTTTGACCTTGACTTTTTTTTTTGTCCTGAAGGCTCGAAGTGTTCAGCTGAAGACAGTGGTCATCAGTGAGAGGGTGCTTGGCTTTGACCATCCAAACACCATACAGCAATATGTGAGTACATCCCCACGTAGATGTTTATCATCACCGTTTACTCATTCGAGTTGTCACAGTGTGAATATTGTCAATGATGTGTGATTTATAGGCCCTCCTGGCTGTGTATGCGTACGCTGGAGGGGAGACGACCCTGGCTCAGAAATGTCTTCTCAGAGCTCGTCTGCTATTGCTGACAGTCCACGGAGAAGACCACCCCTACACCGCAACGCTAGATGTAAGTCAAATCAGTTTATTAAAGTCTAACAAAGAAGGAAGTACAGGTTTTGCTCATGGTTCGGTTTCTCTTCCTACTTGTTTTCTGGCAGAGTTGTCTTGGCCTGGTGCTGACAGAAGATCAAACAGGACAGTTCCTTAAGAATGCTCTGAAACTTAACACTTCATTTTTCGGCCCCACTGATCTGCATACCGCTCTTAGGTATGTTAATTATAGCTCACATTGAAAATTTGTCTGTAACTGAGTAAGTTTACTTACTGCTTCCATTTTTTTCTTCTGTGCAGCCACCACCTGTTGGCCCAGTGGATGTGCAGTAAAGGAGACTACAGAAGTGCTATGACACATGAGAAAGAAGCCCTCTCTGCCTTTACATCCTTGGTTTGTAGCTCTGCGATACTGAGAGAAAACGTCAGCGGGCTCCTTTTTTTTTTTCTACCCATCTGCTTACATTAACTTTCTGTTCCAGTTTGGAGAAGATCACCCACAGACGAGCTGCAGCAAAGAGTTCCTGGGGACCATCACCAAGCAGGCAGTCAAAGTAGAACGCACTCTCAGACAGACAGGAAGTGAGTCTGCTGAGCAAACCGTTGAGGTAAGTGCTAGAGCTTGTATATATAGATTGTTTAAAAAGTGTAAAAACATGCTCAGGTTGTTGTGTGTTCTTCCCTCAGTGTTTAAGCCCAACATCTGAAACTATTCTGGAGCAGATGGTTCTGGTGACGGGGATCAAGAGGGTTACACGCAGGTAAATACATTTCTAAACAGACTGAATGGTGTGAAATCAGATATATATAAAAAAATAAAAACATTATTTGGATGGCTCGCAACAAATCCGTAGTTCGATTTATTAAAAAGGTTTTTCTAGGCCAAGTTCTTTATTTATGGAGTAGAGTAAAGCTCAAGACAAAAAACATTTTCCTATTTACACTTTGACATGAACAGGTATTTTCCCTCTCATAGATTTGTTGTATTTTTGTTTTGTTTTTTGTCGCAATACCAACAAATACTTCAAAATTTCAAGCTAATTTTAATATCAGGCAAAGACAAATGGTTTTCAAAATATAATTTTATTTCTTGAGGGAATAAACCTATCCTGACCAACCTGTCACTGGTGGTGAAAAATGAATCACTCCCATTGTTAAATCATTAATTATTGTGACAAACCACATTTTTAAAATTGAATGTGTTGGGCTTAAAGTATTTAGATTTCTGCCGGATATAAGTAGATTATTCATCTTAATTGTAAAGATCACAGAAACCAGCAGTATTAAAAATCTTCAAAGCATCAACAATATACAACCTGTTTTCAGTTTGATATGCTAAAATCTCTCATTTTATTCATTAAAAAAAATCACAAAATAGGAGGATTTATGTTTATAAATAAAGGCAATACCAATTTTTATCTCTTTGTGTTTTCATAGTGACAGGTTCCAGGAGTATAAGCAGAAACACCTGGAACTAAAGGCTGCAGCAGCAAAGGAACTGGGATTCAAGCTCCCAATCTGGCCTGTCAACTCGCATCTTGTTAGCAGAGAAGATAAAAGTTTGGACAAAGAAAGTGGGAAGGAAGCTGGTGACAAAGGAACCGAAGCAGAGATAAAAGACGCAGAGAGCCAACAGGAGTACATGTCTACTGACAGTGGTGCAGGTGTCTTAGCTAACGGTCATGTGGTGGAGCCAGCTGAGCGAAGCAAACGTGAAGAGAAAGCTGATGTGGATACGAATGGAGAAGTTGCAGATGGTGAAGCACAGACAGTGAGTGAAGGTGAGATGCAGTCAGCTTCAGGCGGGAAAAATAGGGAAATAAATGGAGAGGTGGAAACAATCCCCAGCCCATCTGCCCTGAGTAGTAAACTAAGCTGGGCAGATATTGTTTCAAAATCTAGCAACGGAACAGGAGGCAAGGCGGTAAATGGAGTCACTGCTAATGGGGCAGCTGAAGAGTGAAAACACTGAAAACACACACAGGCTTGTAGGGACGAGCTTTCCAAGGCACTGCTGTAAGATGAAACTATCCTTGGATTTAAAATGTAACTTGTTCAAAACGACAGGAAGGTATTATTAACAAAGACGAGTATTCTTTCATGTTTGACATGTTCCACTGTCACGGATGCTGTGAGAAACTTGTTTGGCTGCAATTGTTTTTGTTCCCTAAATAAACTTTTTACTTTGCTGTAATAAACAAATTTTGTCTTCTGTTAATAAAGTAATCTGGTTTTTGCTGCTTTTCCTGAAACTAGCATGAGCACAAAAGATGAAATAATGTTCACCATGCGAGAGAGAGAAAGAGAAAAAAGTTATTTTCCAGCAAATATTCGAACCATATTTCAGAAGTATATTCTGTTTTCTTGACTGAATGGAAGCATGGTGAGTTTAAAATCAAGTCTATCCTTCAAGGACTCTATCTTCTTTAATGGAGCTCTATTAAGTGATTATGAACAATAAATGCAGTCATATCAAACACCTGATCATGATGTTAACAAGGAAAGACATCAACATGAATCGCTGCTGCCCGTGAATATGGGAAAAATTATGAGACAATATCCATCATTCTATAGTCAAAAAGATTAGCAACAAGTGGAAAATCTTTAGGATTGCTACCAACTTTTATTGGAGGTTAACCAAGTAAATTCACTCGCAGGTGGGTATGTGGGGTCCTCAAGGAACCTGTAAAAACCTTGGTGCCAACTCTCAGATGTCTTGGTAAACATGTTCAGTGGTAAGTATATGGCGACAATTAGAAAAAGGCTGAAAAATGGTCTTCAGTATTTAGCAATTTCCCCTTTTAATTAGTTTAATTAGACACACTAGTTCTAGACGTACTAGCGATGCTAATATTCGTCAAAATCTGCATCCTTCATATCTGATATTTAGAGCCTGGTTTCTTCAAGTTAGCGTTTGCAGAAAATGTTGGTGGTCAGAACTTCACAGAACGGAAATAATCTTTTTGGTCGAGCTGCTGCAGTTTAACCTAAAGAAACATATTCAAAAGTATGAAAGCAGTTCACAATAAACAGAAATAAAACACTTAAAATAACAGGCATAAACTAACCTAATGACAGTAATTGTCGCTAAACGAAACCAAACCTGAACTAAATATATTTTTTTCTTCTCTCGAAAAGCTTCAAAATAAACATACAATGATGCTGATCTGTCAGATTGAGCATTTATAAAAAAAAAAAAAAAGGTGCATAAAAAGGTTTACGGATGTATTAGGCTTGAAAATACATCCGTTGTTAGCTAAGACCTGTCTCAGGAGAGTCTAAGACGGGTGTTTGTTTCAGTATAATTTCTAAATCTGAGCAATGTTGGTATTGTGGTTCAGGTGAGTCAGTCCAAGTAGATGAGGGGAGTTTGTTTAGTCGGTCCGAAGGAAAAGTGATAATTGCTGTGTCACTGAAGACGTCTACCAGACGGGAAGGACAAGGCAGAAGTCTCTCTTCACACAAATCCACAGCTTTGCTGATGTAGCTGTAGTCCCGCTTCAACTCCCTCTCGATGGTCCTGCAGGCAAAAGAGGAAAGAACGTCACCTTATCTCAGCCATTATTTCCAGTATGGTCTCATTTCATTAATTCCTGGTACACACCTCTCTCTGATGCCGCTGAAGCAGTTTCCGATGATCGTAACCAGAGACAAACAGTGTGGGTTCCAGTTCTGCCACAGCAGGTTGTTGTAAAGGGCTTTTCCACAGTGCATCAGATAAAATAAGGTGGGCTTAGTGGCCAGACGCTTCCCCTCCTTCACAATACAACAAATTAAGACGTTGTTTCTTCCGTACAAATGGTTATTATTAAGTTATGATAAGGTGCAATAGCTGTAAATGTTGATGTTTGCCTAATATACTACTATTAAAGTATTATTATAAATTACAGGCTAAAATAAAAAGAAAAACTGACTGGATCTGTGATTTGATTATGCTTAGTAGTAAAATATAATGCAGCTACCCTTTGATATACATCTAACAGTGCATTCTAAGTCTGGAAAAATAAAATGCCTAAGCAGCCAACAACTAACCTCATTTTCTGTGAGCACAGTCAAACCCAGCTCTCTTAAAATGTCCTTTTCTGCCACGGAGAATGCAGGATCATAAAGAGAGCAATCCCTCAAGGGAATCTACACAAAGAAAGGAGCAACAGCACACCATCTTAAACACCATTTAATAAATGTGAGGTATAACACAGATGAAATTGATTCCCTCACATCTGCTGCATCCAGTAGCAGCAGCAACATGGAAAGCTGGTAGCGGGCAGAGACACACGAAGAAAAGGAGCCGAGGCCGTAGCACACACACTCCAGCTGCTGGCGTACTGTCGCCTCTGTGTCCTTGTCCTGCTGGCCTCCAGCCTTTATACTGTCTGAAGGTCTTGATGGGGACGTTGAAACTAGAAGCTGATCTAAAGACAAGATTTTCATCAGGCTGCAAGCAAGATCCTTCAAGAGCAAAGCTTCAGTCCCTGATAGACGTATCCATACCAACTAAGCCCTTTTTTGTGCTAATCTGCTTTATGAAATCCTCCAAAGCACAATTAAGTTTGAGGTTGAATGTGACAATATGTGAAAAGGCTCAAGGGGTATGAATATTTTTTGCAAGGCACTGTAAATACTTAGCTGTGAACTACACTTACTTTTCCATTGTTGCCAAAATTCTTCAGCTCTCAGCTCAGACCTAAAGGAGAACAAATGAAAGCAGTTAAAAGTGTGTGAAGGTAATCTTCTGAACTTAAAAACTAACCTTTGGAAAGTTTGATCTTAAAGATTGAGGATATTCATTGGGTTGCAGCTGATAATCATTTCTTACACTGTGTCTCTGATTCGTCTGACAAATTTCTCAACATCCAGCTGCTCCTGAGGACATACAGAGGCGATTTGTTGGTGAGATCTAAATTTCCTTGATGCACCTTTTCCCCGTCGAACTACTTGCCACTCTTCTACAGAATCCGACGACATTTATATATTACTATGCAGAAATATATGCAGGAATGTCATAAAACAGTATATTTTATGATATTGTGCATATTTTTATTGCAATCGTTGTCTGCTGGAGAGCGTATATTGTCTATGCTGGGAAGCCGCGAGCACGAAGGATTATTTTGAGAACAACACAGAAGTTCCTCTTCCGAGGTCACGTCATTTTTTTTATTTTTTTTATTTTTTATTTTAAATGCTAGTCAGCAAATCAAAGGAGGCGCAAAAATAACAGTGTAAAATATTTTGCACAGATGTGAATTAACTAAAATCAAAAATAATTAGCAAAATTAAAAAAAATAAAGTAAAATAAATTATTTATAGAATGCTCTGAAATGTAGACACAGAACACTACAAATTGTTTATCTGATATACAGAAGCTGAATAATATAATATAATATAATATAATATAATATAATCAATCAATCAATCAATCAAATTTTATTTGTATAGCACATTTCAGCAGCAAGGCATTTCAAAGTGCTTTACATAATTTTAAACAGTGAGAAAGAAAAATAAAAAGAAAGTAATAAAAAGATAAAAAGAAAAGATAAAATCACAGCCTAACAGGACAAGGCCTCCAGCCTTGCAGCACCAGGCTCCGTCCGCCTGTTTCGCGAAAATTTTGCGCTAGGACTTTCGCTGTCCTACGCGGATTTTGTGCATTAATAATATAATATAATAATATAATATAATATAATATAATATAATATAATATAATATAATATAATATAATATAATATGGCGATATTCAATCTTTGATGGTTAAAACCCCCCCAACTATATTTTCGTGCTTTTCAACGCAGTAGCTGAAGTAAAAAATAAAACAATTTAACAGTAAAATCGGAACTAAAATGTAAGTCGGGGAAACAGATATTTTTGTTGTGTACAGGAGTTGATGTAACACCAGTAAACCGGAAGTACTTGGATCTGCTAAAACGATCGTTTTCGTTAGCAGAATTATTTCTATTTTCTAATTTAAAAAACATGTTATTGATCTCGAATAAGAATATTACATAAACTTTAACGTGAGTATGATAAAATAATTCAATGTTTTCCAGTTTAAATTGTTTTAACGTATAGATTATGCCCCACGTTAGGCTTTGCTAGTTAACATTAGCTTTCACGGCGCCTAATTACTCTTCATTTCTCATCGCTAAATACCAATACATATAAATGTGTATATATACATCTTTTGACACTTGTCTCTTTTGTCAATATTTTATTTATTGTGGTTAACTGTGAGCAAATTGCTGCTACAAAAATAATATCCTATTTGTAATCCTAGTTGTTAGTCTAAAGCACTAAGATTTATATTGTTTCTGAAGGGAAACGAAGTCTTTTCTGACACTTTAACACAAGTACAAGATTTTTTTCCTCAGTCTTCAGTCACAAGTTTTGATTACCGTCAGGTCACCAATTTTCACATATTCTTCTGAGATTTTTTTGTGTGTTTTTTTTTGCCTCAACATTTAGATGTCCATGTCTCACCTGTACGGGCGGAGGGAGGAGGAGGAGGAAGGTGTGGAGATAGAGAGCTTTGAGGTTACAGACTGGGATCTGGCCAATGAGTTCAACCCGGAGCGTCGCAGGTTCAGGCAGACCAAGGAGCAGGCCACCTATGGGATCTGGGCAGACAGGGATTCAGATGAGGATGAGAGACCTAGCTTCGGTGGCAAAAGGTAGTGGCATCTATGCCCATTTCTGTTGACAAGTAATAATAGGTTCAGTTAATGTGTTTTGTAAAAATATTAATACCCATGATCTTTTTTCCTACATTACAACCACTAACCAAGTATTTTTAATTTAATATGTTAGACCAACACCAACTGGTAGATCTGGTTTTATGCAAATAAAAATCTTAAAATATTGTTATTCATTTACCAGGTCCAACTTCTCCACAACTTTCTCCCTGACTTGTCTGCTGCGTGACTCGTTGACTAATGTTCGCTGAGGCCTTCACAGATCAGATCATTAATTACACACAAATAGGTTCTATTTGCAAATAAGTTATCTGAATTTATTTATTTTTTTACACTAGATTTTATTTAATATGCTGAATACAAATGTAGCAAACAACATTATGTTGGCCTAGCATGTAAAAACTTATTAAATGTCTAAAATATATAGATATTTGATGTAACATTAGTAAACCAGAAGTTCTCGGATCTCCTGAAATGATCCTTTACGTTAGCAGAGTTGTTTTCTGCTAACAAAACAATTTGTGGTTGGACAAAATGTGGAACATTTTTACTGATCTGATACATTATTCAAGTCACTGTAAATGATTGTGACATTTTTTTTTCTCCAGGTCTAAAGACTACACTACTCCAGTGAGCTTTGTGAGTGCTGGTGTGCGTAAGACTGCAGCTGAGGAGAAACAGCAGCAACAAGAAGGAGGTTCTGATGACTCTGATGACGATTCCCCTCCAGCTCCTCCTCCTCCTCCACGAGCGACGGCTCCCAAGAAACTTCAGATGGTGAATTTATTTATGTCTGCATTTTGTCCATTCGCTAACCATTATTTTAAAGAAAATATAGGGAAGAGTAACTAGCCCTTCTTTTAAAATGCTTTGTTTTTCTAGGGTACTTTCGGTGGGAATCAGTCCCAGAGGTTTGCAGGTGGCATACAGTCTGGTAAAGGGATTGGAAACTGGGAGAAGCACACCAAGGGAATTGGACAGAAACTTCTGCAGAAAATGGGTTACCAGCCAGGAAAAGGTTTGGGCAAGAACGCTCAAGGTGGGTAGAACTGACAGTGATATCATCTTGTTGTGTAATTTTGTTTACATTTCAGAGGAGGAGAGGTGGTGCAGTTGGGAAACTTTAACATAAAGTTCTCTGCCATTGCTGCAGGTATCGTGAATCCCATTGAGGCCAAAGTTCGTAAGGGAAAAGGAGCAGTCGGTGCTTATGGCAATGAGCGAACTCAGCAGAGTCTTCAGGACTTCCCTGTGGTTGACTCTGAGGAAGAGGAGGAAAAGGTAAGCTACTGGAACAGATGTCGCCTTTGACACTTTTCCCATTTACATCCACTGTTGTTGCTTTTCATAACCTGTATGCTGATCCTGCAGAGCCTCTTTAGCTGTATTTGTTTTTTGTTTTAAAGGAATTTAAGAAAGAGTTAGGCCAGTGGCGTAAGGATCCGACTGGGACTGCAGGAAAGAAAAAACCAAAGTACTCCTACAAAACTGCAGATGAGCTAAAAGCCAAAGGTAAAATAGCTTATCGGGGCACACCGGCATCTGCAGGAGAGCTGGCACAAGTCAAGGTATGTCAATGTCTTGGATTGGATTCCTTCATATATGTTCACATGGATTACACAACAGTTTTTGGGGGAGTTGGGCTATTGTGTTTAAGCTTAAAAAAAAAAAGCACTCACATTTATGGCCCTCACACACCAGGGTATATTGTAAAGTATGCAAGGGTACATACATTCTTACTTTTTCAGACATTGAAATCATCCTTATTTATTCCTCTCCTCTCTCTTACATCATTGCTAACTTCGAATGGTTTTATATGGATTCTTACTCATTAAATTTAGAAAGCAGGATTTTTTTTGTTTATATGTTAGCGAATGAGTCATACATGTCACAATGTTCATTTTTCACTGCACATACGACCTCTGGAACAAAATGAAGAGTTTAGGGGATGAATATCTTGAACATGTGAGTCCATTGAAGCCTGCTGTTTAGCGTTTTAAACATAATTTTCCCATGTTTCTCCTGGTTTAGGTCATAGATATGACTGGCAGAGAGCAGAAGGTTTACTACAGCTACAGCCAGATATCCAACAAACACAGCGTTCCAGATGAAGCCCCACCAAGCCTGTCCACCCGCGATCAGAAAGGATCTGGCTTTGCTCTCCCTGAGCTCGAGCACAACCTGCAGCTTCTGATAGACCTCACAGAGCAGGACATCTTACAGGTGAGGGGAAACGGTGAAGTGCATTCAGCAAAAAGAGCAAGACTTAAACTTCAGAAAACATTAACAATCTGAGGTACAAATGTGAGAGTTATCAAATGGTTTCTAAGCTTCATTTCTTTCCCTGGCGCATGTTTTCGCAGTCCGCCAGGCGTTTGCAGCATGAAAAAGACGTGGTTGTTTCTCTGAGCCACGAATCTCGAGCCTTGCAGAGCCGACTGGACACCGAGCAGGATGCCATTAAAAGAATGGAGACAGTGTTGGCCTTGGTGGAGCGATTTCCTACGGAGGAGACGGCGCCGGGCGAGGGGCCAACCCTTCAGGTTTATGTTACGCTGATTGCACTCTGAAGAGCCTCTGTCGTCGAGCATTTTGAGTTTTATAGTTTCAACCCTATTCTTTTAATGGCTTCTTCTTCCTCTCTGTTCAGGAGTGTGCCCGCATGTTTGAGACCCTGCAGACTGATTATTATGAAGAGTACAAGACAATGGGGCTGGGGGACCTGGCTGTCGCTGTTGTACACCCGTTACTCAAAGAGAAACTCTCCTCCTGGGACCCTCTCAAGGTATTCTTCTACTATCATCACAGCTGAAGAAAATGATGACTTTTTTAAGTGGTGCCAACATATTTGTCTGATTATTTCAGGACAGCTCATATTGTCTGGAAGATATTGGTCAGTGGAGAGCAATCCTCGAGTCCCAAGACATGCACTCCAGCGGTCCACATTCAAACATGGATCCATATCACAGGTGATTGTAAACAAAAAAACAAAAAAAGAGAGACTCAGATGTGCCTTGTGAAGAATTTGTGCCAAACAGAATTTCTATGTAGTCATAATTGACATGAGTTTCCTATTGATTTTTTGCTTTTAACAAAGCATTTCAAACATTATTCTCTTTTTGTGGGTGGAGTAATCACACAATTAGAGAATTTTAAATACAAAAAGTAAGCGCACAAGTTAGAATTTGATGATATTCTTTAGTCCCCACTGCATTAAAATTATGCATGGGATCTTAAATATATAAATAATGATATTTAGATAAATCCTAATTAGCAGCTTGCAGATAAATTTTGCACCCATGAACAAACTGGCCTAATTCTGATATATTTGATGGCTGTTTTTATTAGACTATTAGTAGGGGCGAATGTGTATTCATTTGTACATAAATGTAATCCTATTTAGATTAAAGAAGTTCCCAGTCAATTAAAATATGTAAAATTAATTCTTGTTTTTAAAATTCCGGTTGTCAATGTTTATAAACGTGTAAAAAAAAAAAAAACCTTATTTAACAGCAGCTTTGCTGGTTATAAGAGGATGTAAACGTCTGTTACTATATTTTAGTTTGCTTTTGTAAAGTGTCTGATGTACGTTTATTCATCCAGACTGTTGTGGGAGGTGTGGATCCCAGTGATGCGCTCCTGTGTGTCCAACTGGCAGCCTCGACTAGTTGGGCCAATGGTGGACTGTTTGGATTTGTGGGCCCCTCTTCTCCCCCCGTGGATCCTGGATCAGCTGCTGGAGCAGATGATCTTACCCCGACTGCAGCGAGAGGCAAGACAAAGACCGTCTCGCATGCTTGTGTATCCTCCCTAATATCAGCGCCGGAAGACAGATATTAAGAGCGAACTTCTTCCTTGTTGAAACAGGTGGATAACTGGAACCCTTTGACCGACACCGTCCCCATTCACTCCTGGATCCACCCGTGGCTGCCTCTGCTCAAAGCCCGCCTGGAGCCTCTTTACCCGCCAATCAGGAGCAAACTGTCCAACGCTTTGCAACGGTGGCATCCAAGTGACGCCTCAGCCCGCCTCATCCTGCAGCCGTGGAAGAATGTGTTCACAGCAGGAGCATGGGAGGCCTTCATGGTGAAAAACATCATCCCTAAACTAGGTTTGTCCTCAGGGGTGCTTAGGACTGTGTTTGGCAAATCCATTAATGAATGTCTACTTTGCTGCTCTCTGTTCTCCATTTGTTGTGGCTGCTACTAATGGTCATTTGTCTTCTGTGCACTTCGGAAGCCTTGTGTCTGGAAGAGCTGGTTATCAACCCTCACCAGCAGCAGATGGAGCCATTTCACTGGGTGATGGACTGGGAAGGCATGCTGTCCCCCTCCAGCCTGGTCTCGCTTTTGGATAAAAACTTTTTCCCCAAATGGTTGCAGGTTAGTGAATACACTTGGAGTAAAACAAATCTTATGGACATATAAACAGTCTGTACATTATTAAGCTAATTATGTAGCGAGATGTAAGTAGTTTAAATAACATTAAGAAATTTGGAAAATTCTATATATTTTTCTGGACTATGATTTGTTTACAATCAAAGATAATTAAACTCCAACCAAAAACGTTCAACTACCAACAGAGACGAACAATATCAGTTTTATTCTACAACTGTAAATGTAATTGTAAATTTAGGGAAGGAAATTCTGCAGAGTGAAATAAGTAGTAAGGCAATTCTGGAGTGCTACTTTCATACGGCATCATTTCTCCCTATGACATTAAAACGAAAAGCAGAGTGATAGTTGTAAAATTTGTCTTCTGCACAAACTTAACAGCTCAGGACTATGCACTTCCTGGGGAGGAGACATCAGAAGGAACTGATCAGCCAATCAGAAGTGGATCTGAGATCATATGAGGGACATCTGATGTTAGACATTCAGTTAAAAAAAGCAATTGTGCAGATTTGTTTATGGTACTTATAAAGAAATCTCAAAGTTTCAATAATATAAACAAACTTTTACTTTAGTATTTACTAGTTATTGTTTTTACCTTCAGTCATTTTACAAATATAATCTTTCTACTTAATTAAAAACAGTGATATTGTAGGGATCCTGGAGTGTCATCTGTAGGAACAGGATGTGATCTAGTTAGACCGTTGATTCTACAAATTTATTGAGGATTTATAGAAAAGCATTTCTAGTCAGTAATAATATTTTAATAACTTTAATGTTATGTATCTGTGTTGGTTAAAGGTGCTGTGTTCGTGGCTGAGCAACAGTCCAAACTATGAGGAAATTACTAAGTGGTACCTCGGCTGGAAAAGCATGTTCAGCGACGTCTTGTTGGCGCAGCCGCTCATTAAAGAGAAATTCAACGAAGCTTTGGACATCATGAACAGAGCAGTGTCTTCGGGTATGGGACATTGTCCATATTTCTTTAAAATATGTACTGAATAATCTTTAAAAATGTTGCTTTGCCTTAAAAATATATTATTGCGTCTCAGCTTGTCTTTCTACTGAAAACCTATTGTGACACTTGTTCACTTTTACAACCACAGGGGGATACATGCAACCAGGAGCAAGAGAGAACATTGCATATCTCACACAGACAGAAAGACGGAAGGACTTCCAGTACGAAGCACTGCAGGAGCGCAGGGATGCTGAGAGTGTGGCTCACAGAGGCATCAGTACTGGTGTGCCAACAAACTTTAAAGATCTCATTCAGACCAAAGCAGAGGAGAACAACATCGTCTTCATGCCCTTAGTGGGCAAACGGCACGAGGGGAAGCAGCTCTACACATTTGGACGTATTGTGATCTACATAGACAGGGGGGTTGTGTTCGTGCAGGGGGAGAAGACTTGGGTTCCCACGTCTTTGCAGAGTCTCATAGATATGGCAAAGTGAACTTTGCCATATCTATGAGAAGCATTTGGTTTGTTGTTTATAAAACAATTTAAAAAGTAAAGCAACTTTTTCATGTAACTTTAGCACAGTGGTCATTTGTCATGTCTATAAATTTTTAAAAATGTCAGATTGAATAAAAATAATTACCATTCATAGACTGCTTTCCACAAATAAAACCTGTTTTCTATTTTTCTTTCTTTGTTAATGACTTCTCTGTTAGAATTGACATTTCTTCAATGCAACTTTGGACTTTTTATGGAAAGACGACATACAAGTTTGGTCCTTAAATCCTTTTTCTGCAAGTTTATGACAGTAATATCAGATACAGCATAAGCCAACTCATTACTTTCATTATTGATGCAACAATAGTGGGAATTGTCTATGGGAATGGAACATCCTGCAGTAAGCTGATGCGAGAACAAACATCTCCCTCAATAAAACTTAGACTTTAGAAGCAACGCTGAGCATCTGCCGCAGTAACTATACCAGGAAGCTGAAAATTCAGAACCCAAGATTTCAAAGGTTATATGCTGCTTTACGAATTTGAATTAAGAGTTACTCTGTTCATCCTCACCAACTTTAACTAGAATAGCATGAAAATGCTAGAGCAACAGAGAAAAGACAGTAGAGTCACTCTCCTTTTTGGAGACCAAATTCTAGTAGAGACACAAAAAGACAGCCCTGTGAATAATAAGGACTATCTTAACCTGTCTATAAGTTTTAACTTCATGTTAATAGCTATAAGATAATCCTGGCTAAATTAATCAAGAAAGGTAGAAAATGTGCAATAGCTTAATTCCCCTGATGAGTCTTGCAAATTTCCAGTAATACTCATTTGGAAAAGTTTAATGTTTTGTTTCCGTATAATTTATTTTAATATAACTGACGTGACAAAACATTTTTGACACTGAAAGAGGTAGTCCTGGTAACCACATCATAACACTAGGTGGCAGACTTATTTATGCTTATCCTGTTTTGGTTGTTGATTATTGGCTGATCCGGCTTCCGTCGATATTCGGCGCTTTGTGGTAAGACATTATAGCTCTTTTTGTTGTTAATTTGTCATTAAACTACTACGGTGCCGTTTTTTCAAACAAATTGGTGCGTGAGTAATTTTGACACATAATAACAAACATATCCTATTCATTATAGTCGTCAGAAAAGACGACTGTTATCGGCTGAACCTGTTAGCAGCTAAGCTAACACAGGCTAGGTGGCTAGCATTAGCATACTTCTAACATGTTGCTAAACTGAGGTTTCATGTCGTTTCTTTTATCCGGTTTATGCACCCATATGTACACGTAGATGGCCATGTCGACCGATGCCTTAAAGAAGAGAAAGTCGAAGGTTCTCCGCGGTGAAGGAGGGACCCCAGAGACGAAGCGAGGCCGGGGGGAAGTGGACCAGGTAAGCACACAACCAGAGAACCGACGCTCTGCAGACATTGTGTCTTCATCTGATTTCATAACCATTTTAATAAAATGAGAATATTAACATGATAAACGCTTTTACATTTTCTATAAATATAATACAAAATAACTTCTGGAAAGGAATAATTTAGGACACCTCTATATTTAGCCCCACGTAAATTGTCAAAAACTAGTTTTAGTAATTTCATAATCGGTGTAAATGATTCCTACACGTTTTCTCCGCATTTTGGTGGAGGTTTGTCCTCTTTAAGTTTTGGATATTTAGTTCTTAAGTGTTAGTGAACACAATGGTAAGATTAAAAGTGCTGTCTGAGGCCTTCAGATTGTAGCGGGGGTGTGGAAAGGCTGAGAAGAAGAATCTGAAATCAACCTACAAGTGGAGGGCATTCAAAACTACTGTCAGCACAAACTTGACATCCATTAAGCTTGGAGATGCTGCAAATCAGAGAGGCTCATCATCACAGAATCCACTGTGAATTCTTGTATATATTAGAGTCTGCTGGAGGGAAGTATGAGGCCTACTGGAAAACAATTAAAGCTGAAGCAGAGGTGCACCTTTACTATGCATGCATGATTTTGTGTCCTTGCTTAATTAATTTTATCTGCTCATACACACATGGCTGCATGCTTATGTAACCATAACCAACACATGAAACCATCTCCAGTCACATATAATCATGGGGGTTAGTCTAGTAAATTGCCATGAGAAGCCAAAGGAGAGTTTTCTAACTTCTGTTCTCTGTTTAATGCATACAACTAGGTTTTTTTATGTGTTAAAGTCCAATTAAATGACTTTCTTGTTTTGTTTTTCTTTAGATCAAATTGTGATTAGCTGTTGATGTATGAACATTTTCTTATTAAAAAAAACTATATTCCATAGGGCGTTGTAATTTTTTCACAATGGATTTTATTGACGCACTCATTTAGGATAGTGTTGACATCTTGAAGGAAACAAAAGAGAGAGGAAAATATTGTTTAACTGCAACCTGCATCATCATTGTGTCACAAAGAGGGGACAAATACGGGGAATTATGACCAAAAAATGTTGTTTTTGATTTAGATTAATTGAAACCATTTAACATTGATGACACAATGAGAGCAACAGGGAAGAGGTGACCTATAAATGCAGGTGGATTCTTAACTTTTTAACTATTGCTTCATTCAGGATCTTCGTGTCTATAATGAGGAGGGGGAGCTGGACGGCAGGGACCCCGAGCAGGACTACCTGCAGTACAAAGAGTCCTGTGAGAGTTTGGCTGCAGTCATGAGTGAGATCCAGGAGCTGAAAGCCAACGGCGCCAAAGAGGGGGTAAAACAATCGATTCATCATAAATGTAGTTTCTCATTGTTCTTAATTGAGAGTACCTAAATTCAATTCAGTGTGGTGTTTTGTTTTCGTCACAATTCTTTATGGGGTTGCAATTCAGTAAAAAAAAAAAAAAAAAAGTACTGCTAAAAAAAGTACTGCTTATTCATAAACCCCACCTATATACAGAATATATTCAGAAAGTAAAACTGGACTTTTAAGTAAGAATTTGTTTAAAAACAACAAAAATGCATCAAATGACAGGAGAAAAGACATTTTGCCAAAATTAAGCATAGTGGTTGCTATGAAAATCAGTATTATTTTGAACTCATCCAACAAACTGACAAGCAAGTTAAATGTCAGATCAGTATAACAGAGAATGAAGGAGAATTTTTTTTTCCCTCACACATAGTCATAGACATCGATCAGTGATTAACTACTTGCTACATTTAAAACTCGTCTCTTAAAATTGATAATATTTCTTCAGATGAATCAATAATTAAGAAGGGAAATATCTCCAAGTTGACTGGAAGCAAGGCTGCAGATATTTAGCTTCTCAGATTCCACCCCTCTTGTTATCTGCAGTGCGTGCAGGAAGAGGACCTTAAATATCTATATATCTAACTGGTGTGTTTCTCCTCAGAGTGCCGAGGTGGAGCTGAGACGCATGCAAGGCTGCATCCACTTCATGAACCTGAAAAAACTCAACCGTTTGGCTCACATGCGTCTTAAAAGAGGGCGAGACCAAACCCACGAGGTAATTCTCCCACAGAGCTACAATGGAGTTAATGACAGACAAAATAAGTTAAGTTCTACTATTCTAGGTATTCTCAAAAAAAAAAATGCTGATGCGAGTTTACTTTGTGCTGATCAGTGAAGGAGTGTTGAACTAAGCACTTTTGTCCTCGCAACGTCTAACTGCGGTAGATGCTACAGTCTGCAGAAACAGTTTGAGTGCGCTTTGTGTTACATTGTAAATGTTCACTGTAGATCGCATTTAAGCTCATTAATCTTTGATTCCACATAAACCTGGTCCTCAGTTTTGGCGTACCGGCAGGTATAAATGTATCGGTGTTTATTTTGCGTCCGTCAGGTGATTCGTCTGGTGGAAAAGCCTCACCAGCGATTAATGTTTCTGTCCTCAGGCAAAGCAAAAGGTCGACGTGCTTCATCTTCAGCTGCAGAACCTCCTCTACGAGGTCATGCATCTTCAGAAGGAGATCAGCAAGTGTCTCGAATTCAAGTTAGTGTGAATTACTCTTTGTCAGATGAAACATTTACAGTTTTATTGAGACAACGTACGTCATTGGCGTCGCACCAGTTTACCTTGGCATAAAGGACTGGAAGACGGTGCCGTGCAGAAATATTTATTTTGTCATGTTACGACCTCAGAGTTTGATGTATTTTATGTGATAACCCAACAGAAAGTAGTGCATTATTGAAGATAGACGATGTATTAAATTTTTATTTCTACTAAAATCCTGAAGTGCGGCGTGCATTTGTCTTCAGCCCCCTTTACTCTGCTACACCTAAATAAAATCAAGTGCAACCAGAGGTTTTCAGAGATCACATAGTTTATAGAGTCCACATGTGTGTAATATCAACTCTGTTCTGTAAGGACCTCAGAGAACATTAGGCAGTAAAACATTTTTATGAAGATGGTGACACCATCAGGCTCCGGGGATTATTTTCCTCAGCAGAGACAGGAAAGCTGGTCAGAATTAATAGTAAGATGGTTGGACAACACAAAGCCAGAGAAATGGAGGAACGGCTTAGATAAAAATGTTTTAATGTGTTAGAATGGCATAGTCAAAGCCCATACCAAGTTAAGGACCTGTGGCGACGTTTAAACATGCCAGTTCAAAGATGCTCTACATTCAAACTAGCTGAGTTTGGTGTGTTTTGCAAAAAAATAATGGATAGTCATTTAATTATTTGAGTGTTTATTATGGTTGGAGCTGCAATAAGAAGGAAATGTGGATCTGTAAAGTCATCAGGGAGCCACTGATTGTAAATTCATGCCACACTTTTCAGACTTTTCTTTGTAAAATATTTTCAAAGCCATATTTTCTTTTCCTGTCACTTCACAAATACATAATAGGTTATATTAAGTCCATCATATTAAAGCCCAATAAAATACTTTGAAGATTACAGTTTAATGAGGTTCAATAGATATTAATACTTTCACATGAGATGTTGTTACAATACGCTTTTACGTATTAAAATTAAAATTTAAAGACTTCGATCAAATGCGTACAAACAGCACAACCCAGTTACACATAAAGCAAACCTCAAATGTTTCACATTTTCAGATTTATATTTTTGTCACATTGATTAGGATCTTTCCTGCTTCAGATCCAAGCATGAAGAAATTGACCTGGTGAGCGAAGAGGAGTTCTTCCAGGACGCGCCGCTGGAGATTTCCAGGCCCAGCCTGACC